GTGTTCAACTGCATTTTTTATAATTATATCATTGATACCAATATCAAAATTCAACAAATCTAGACTAATCAAACATTCTTTAAATTTTTAAAAATTGATACATCTGGACCAGTTGTACATAAATTAAGTTTAACCTCGAAAACATTATTTAGTACTAATTCCAAAATATGTCTACGATATCATAAATACAACACATTACGCTCTAATAGTTGTTTAAGCAATATACAAGCGTCATTTAAGCGACCTGTATTAGAAGCTGTTGTGTCACAAGACAAGGCCTGTATTTTATTTTTTACATCCCAAACTTTATTAAATCAAAAATTGCATTTACCTGATTCTCGCCAGAATCACTCTCAATTTTTGGGAACCTAAGTAATTGACTTACTCCCTCAAATGATACCAAGATTGGCAATCGATCAACTTTAGCTCTATTTATAATTCCTGAAAGTAGTTTTCCATCCCAATGCAAGACAAGACTATTTTTATCCAGAAATTTAATTTTTTTTTATTTCATTTACCTTTCTCTCACTAAAAAATAATCTTTTCCGTCGAATAGTTGATCGGTTGCTTATTAACTTTTATACGTTATTACCTAATGCTTCAGCAGTAGAAATAATTAAATGCACAGCATCGCTTCAGATATCTTGCATTGATCTAATGCAGAAACTAATTTAGGAGTCATAAAAGTTATAAACCCTCGTGTTTTTGAAGAATATGAATAACCAGACAAATCATCTTATGTTTCATATTCTGAGGAACTAAACAAATTTAACTCAACAACATTATCTAAACAAAAAATGATAAATGATAGAAAAATGATTGTTATTTATAAGTTTTCTTTATTACCTCGCCAGAAAACTCGTAAAACAATTTTATTTTTCTACAAAACTAATAGAAAATTAAATTTCAAATAACTTTTACATGAAAATTTTTTTTATAACTTGATCGGTTCATCGTATATATTTAAATTGCCGAAATATATGAATTTTACTGGTAAACATAATATTTATGGAACTTTTGACTTTTAGGAGGTAAATATTTGACTTATGAGTTTTTTGCTAATAACCTTTTTTATGTAAAATAATTATATGTATAATTTCTTTCTTATAAACTTTTACGTAAAAATCATATATTTTGAGATAAAGCAGAATAACTGAAAAACTACCCTTTTGATCGAATTTTCAACCCTCTTGCTGCACGTGTTAACATCAACCTATAGGGACCAAATTTTGCACAGTTTATTTTTACATGTATTAGAATAATTTTTTGGTGCGCGTAAATCGAATTTTGAAAATTTGTATTTTAAGGACCACCCTAATGAACATACACTAATTTTTTAACATCGTCATGTCCATTTTTGCATCCATCAGATGCCAGTAGGAGAGAAACGAAGATTTTTATTGACTGTTTCTCAGCTTTACATAAAGCGATCGCTGTATAGATCCTTTCAGTCTCGGTGTGCAGTGCATGTTGTTATCGCATTTTTAGGCATATTTGCCATTCTTAAATTACTTTTATATATATTATTATCTATATGTTTTTGCGCCATGGTTGCTTTTAGTTATTTAGCGACCCTCATCCACAATTCTATATTTTATTTTTGTTGTTATTATAATATATAAGCCTTATTTTACAATTCTTTTAATTTCTGCTAGTGTAAGTACCTCCCACAATTTCATATACAGTCTACTCCCCTAATTCTTTCTTCTACCTGATTATAGACAAAACAACAAACGTTAACTAACCCACACGAGTATCATCGCAAGTTGCGTTCAAATACTAGTTGGGGATCCGCCCCAGCCCTTCTGGCTTTATGTTCTGCCCATGACACGTTAGACCCTTTACTCCGTTCTTACGGATAGATCACAGATTTAGGTAGGAGTAACCGATTACGCCATGCACGATACGTTTTTTAAACAAAAAGTATTACTTCGCAACCAGTATAATAAAAATATGGCAAACATTTAATTATCAAATTGAGTTAACTTTTAAAATGGCCAATAGTAAAATATATACGGCTGACATTTGATTCCGATATCATCACAGTAATATAATAATATTTCAATTTTAACACTATCATTACTATAACAATATTAATAAAATTGTGTTATTAAGAGTGTAGGCTGTAATATGTTATTTTACATAGAGTTTCATATTTATGCGAACATCCAATAAATTATTATCTCTAAATATTGAGGCCAAATATCTTATTATATAAAAAAAACATTAAAAATTAGGCAATGCAAGAGAAATTACTTGATGATGTCCGAATTTCAAAAAAAAATGTATAAATGAAAGTGCTGAACTATGTTATTCTAGGAAAATTATTTAACAAGAGGAGAAAAATAATTTTAGCAATTAGTGAACGTTCAAAAATTTTATCGAAAACGTTCATTGCCGCAAGCGTTTTTCGATTTAAAACCTAAAATGTTAACTAGACTTGCCCATAGACATTCTAAAATTACCCTGAAAATTTTGTTTAAATCCGTTAGTTCTTGACCGAATTATGAGCTATTTTTTTAAATCCATTCGTATAGTTTTCAATAAGATATGATTTTGCATGACAATTTTGTTTAAATTTTGTGTAATTTTTACTAATAACACAGAATTTAAAAATTATTTTTAATGACTATTAATTTTTCTTTCGACAACCTGTTGTTTTAAATAATAATTAGTGGGTTTTTATGAAGTATAATTGTAAACACAAGTAACAAGTATTTTGTAATAATTTTAAAAACATCGTATTTTTAATAACCAAAATATACTTGTTTATATTTGCGTTGTCACATCTCAATTATTGCGATGTGATAACACAAAATAGTGTCCAACCAAAAACTACGCGCAAAAATAAAATAGCTCAAAAAAATGTTCAGCAAACTTTTAGAATGATTTTGGAATGGTAAAAAACTGGTAAAGATTTTAGGTTTTAAATCGAAAAACGTTGACGGCAATAAGCGTTTTCGATAATTTTTAGGCATCCACGGAGTGCTACAAAAATTGTTCTCATTTTCAAAAATAATTTTTTCAGAATAAGGTCACCGGGCTCCTCATTAAAAAAACTTTTTTTGAAAATTAGATATCATTATGTCTTTATTCCAGTATTGAAAATTTTTAATCTTCTTTTTATTACTTAGTAGTATATGTAAATAAAGGTATGTAAAATTTTAATGCTCTGCTCTGTACTTCCAGTTTGCTAACATTTCCCTTAATAGAAAACTAAGACTTTCTTGTTATAGTTAATTTGTATGCAACCCCTAACATTAACTAAAAAAGAAGACAGGAGATAATTAGGTATATCGCGATAATTACAAACTCATTTTTAAATACAAAAAAGGATTGAAAATAGATGTTAACATTTAAAAGTATTAAATATAATGTCATTTCGTTTATTTATTGAGTTCTATAATTTTCTATATAAAATATAGTAAAGTGTTGTAAACTGTCATAATATCCTAAAACTAATCAATTATCATATGTAATTATATATCTTTAATACTTCATCTGAAAATTATATCAAATTAAAATATTTTTGAGTCTCATAAGGCGGTTTGTTTTCTTTTGATTTTCCTCATATAAGCAAAACCATATAAAATTGAAAAGAATTGTAAATTTGTTAATATCTTGAACGATTATTATACTTATCACAGTTTTTGTTGAAAAAAAAAACTATCCTAACTTAACGTTGATTCATAATAACAACGACTTACAAAAACATGCTTTAAATAAAGACAGTTATAGTTTTAAATGTACACTAGATTATACAATTGACTATGATATACGTGCAGTGTTAATTTTTTGTAGGAAAAATTTTGGAATGAACATCTCAGGTATAAATATAATTGTTAAGCCATTAAAAAAACTAATTATAATTTGGATAAATATTTTCACCTAAGTTTAATTACAGAATAAAACTAGAGAAGGTTGTAGTAAGTATGATATTAGTACGAGCTAACACTATACGAATAAGTGGTAGAAACACGTTGTATGATAATTAGGTTAAAAGATTTACGCCCTTTCTCGGAATTAAATAATTAACGCGACAAGTAGTGCGGACACTTTGCCTAAACCCCATCGGCAACCATAATAATAATTACTTTAATTTTCTGGGTACTGAGATATTAATTAAGAGTGTTACTGATTGCAGGTCCAGCATTTTGGGGCTTAATAAATCCGGAATGGAGTCTATGCAACAAAGGTCGACGACAATCGCCTATCAACATGGACCCAGACAAGTTGTTGTACGATCCAAACTTAACCGATCTACATGTGGACAGACATAGAGTAAGTTAAATTGAATAAGATTTACGCGTATTATCCGATTACTTTAATCATCATTATTTAAACCACATAATAACATGCATTGCAATAAATATTGTTAAAACTATTATTTCACCGTTGGGGGGTTGCTTAATCGAATGATGCAGCCGACACAAAGTTTATAATTAATAATGAGCGTAGAGCCGTTTATTTATTTTTATTTTTTTGTAACACAATTTTTAAAAATAATGTCGCACAGAATAAAATTGATCGTACCCACACAAGTTTAGTCAGAAAAAATAAACACATTCGTAATGCTCTTCAGTCCAGTTGAGGTACCCCCAAAACGAAATAGCGATGCGAGTAAGACGTACCGACGATCCGGACAGGATTGGCACAGTAAGTACGGGTCGGTATCGAGAAGAAGACGTGCGACACTTGCTGGATTTTGTACCATATGGCGCGCAGTCAGTCAAACTACCATAGACACTTTGGACGATGGCTGATAAAGATGGCATGAGTCGTGGGGCAACGTGTAACACGAAGTGACGCAGGACCATTTCTCCATCAATAAATTACAAGTTTTTATTATATGTTATACATAAAAATTTATGTATTTAATAAAAACAATTATCATGACCGAAACTGAATGTAGTTAACAACTAAGTAACTAACTATCAAACCAATACACGCATTAAAAAGCATTTTCAATTTAAGCATTCACTCCAAATACATCTAATTTTTTAGTAAATACAAAATAAAAACTGTAGCAAAGTGGGTTCCAGAAAATTTTCAAAAGTTAAGTTGAAAAAATTGACTTTTGTAAAATACTTTCTGTATTGAATTCGCCTTCGTGAACAGGTTACGTTTTGAAAAAATTTATATTAAATACAAGGGAATGTTCAAGATTTTTATATAAAAAAAATTATTTTGATTTATTCAGTTTTGAAAAATTCATGGCAGTTTTAAGAAAAAAAAGTCAAAAATTACTGATTTTTAGAATTGTAATTCTTTTGGAGATTTCCTCATTTTACGCCAAAAAAACGAAAATGTTTCAATTATTAGGAGCCATGTCTTCAATTAGATAAGATTTGTGATCTTTTGACGAACCATTGAAAAAAATCGGTCCGGTGAGAACTAAGCAAGTGGCGACAGACATCATAGTAATATTAAAATATTCTAAGCTTCGCATCGAAGCTGAAAAACACTTAACTGTAATAACATTTATCTGAAAAATAAGAATACTATGTTTTAGATGTAACAATATTTATATAATAATTTATTATGTCAAAAATAATAGTACTTTTTTAGTTTTCTGACGATAAAATGTTGCGTGTAGGTAACGTAGGGATTAACTATGTATATTATTTTGAGTGAAATTGTTCAAAGAATAAAAATAATGAATTGTAACGGTTAAAAAGTAATTTTGCTCAATAATATAAATAAGAAAAAATACATTTGTACATTTTTCGTTAATATTAGTACAATAATTACAGTCATAGTTAACAAACTTAATTGTATTAATAATGATATGAATGAAAAAAAAATATAATAAATATACGCGTAATATGACTTAGGCATTATATTTACTGTAAATGTAATGTAATAGGTTGACGGAACAATAACAAATACGGGTCACAGTATTGTTTTTTATTTGGATAATGACCAAAAAAATCATATAAATATCACAGGAGGACCTTTGTCTTACAAATACCAAGTATATGAAATACATATGCACTTTGGACAGCAAGATGAGATGGGATCGGAACATACGATCAACGGATATGCATTTCCAGCTGAAGTAAATTTTATAATAAATAACCATAAAATTGATAAATACAAATAAAAATGTCCATTTTATTATAATTAAAACATTTCCATAATATTTTTACATTCTTAATTTTCTATTGTAGTTATTACTTGACAAAATATAAAGTATAAAAAAAAATTTATATATCGTCTAATTTCAACGCGTAGGTTCCGTTATTTTCAGAAGTTGACACACATCCATAATTCATCAAGTATAATTTTAATGAGTAATTAATAGAAAAAATCATTAATTGCTGTTCATCTCTAAATGTTATAACTAGTACTTCTCTTCCCAATGGTTTCTCCATTGGTGGTTACCTTAATTATTGGTTAATTAATGAATATGTACCAAAAAATAACTGTTTATACTTTATAATTTAATTTATATTTATTGTAAAAATGCTATCAAGCGTACAAATTAAAAATAAAATAAAAAACATTTTTACAATTTAAAATATGGCGCCAGATCTTTATCTTATCGATTCAATTTATGTTGAATATTCTCAAAACTTGTTACACAATTTCTAAAAACTGCTCATAAAAATAACAATATAAATAAAAGATAATTATCAATTTAATACATAGTATTATTATAATACTATGTATTAAAAGTTATAAAAAAAACAATTTAAAATAAAAATTAATATTTAATAATGTTTAAGCTTCAAATATTTAGCTACAACTCGCAACTGTTTGCTAACTATTCAGATGCAGTGCAACGATCTCATGGAATCGTAGTTTTATCTTTACTGATTCAAGTATGTATTCACTTGTAAGATTATACTATTTAAAATATATGCACATAGATCATAAGCTTAAATCTAAGAAAAAATTTACAGAGGACTTAATTTATTTACCTGACTCTATTGTTTTTAATATATTCATTAAGTATTATTAAGTTTAAATACATTTTTAGCAGTCGTTGAGTTATCCAATCTGTTGACCGTATTTTATATACTGGGGAAAATGATTTTTGAAGGGTAAAAAAAATAAATATACGAGTCTTTTGAAGAAAAACAAGCAAGAAAAAGAATTTGTGGTTATGAGTAATTACTTGGACTTTATAAATTAAAAAAATATATATATACATATGATTATTGTTTTAAACGCCTCTCGTATAATATGATGAGGTCCGATTTTTATAATTAGTATTACGCATAAAAGTAATATGTAATTTTTCAAAAAGTTATAGTAATGCAAAGTTGAGAATTTAAAACCAAAAATCGAAAATTTTTACTTAAAAATAAAAAATTTGTTTTATGTGAAACATCTTTTGTAGTGAGTTCAGATCTGCTGTTAGCGTGACGACGCATGGACATGACATTAAAATTTGAGTAGAAGCAGATTATCCTATCTTCAGTGAAAACGATTTTAAAGTCAGTGTCATCTTAGTTAATGACTAGTGATCTGGGAAGGTTACAAAATACCTTCCGGTTTAATAAATATTTGGTGCCCGAAGCTCAATACGTATTCATAGCCGTTTGAATTTATTCTGGCATTTAAAAATTTACTGAAATAAATAGGAAATATATTGACTTTATTGAGTTCATTTATTATGGTTTGATTTAGTATTGATGGACACATATTTTATATAATATTTCGTTTGGCAATATTGACTAAAGCTATTATTAGTAAAATATCATTTTTATATTCATAAATTTTGAATCATCTACAAGAAAGTCAAAAATCAATTTGTGTTGGCAGAAAAGTGCAAAAACGGTTATTTGACAACTTGGTAAAGAAATCATGATTTACATCGCATCACTAGTTGGGAGATCGATTTTTGATTATTATATATCATTATCTAATTTTGTTACTTTACCATTATTATTTTTTTCGAATACATGATAGTTATGTATTATAGTCTATATATTAAATATTATTTTTGTATTAAATATGAATTAATTCATTACTCTTTATTAATTTTTATTAGTAATAATTTAAATATATAATAATAATTTACTTATAATACACTCAAATTAAAGGACTTAATGGAACAACCAAATAAGTCCATTTTTTTTTTCAGGAAAAGCAATTTTAATTTTAATTCTAGGTTTTCATAATGACAATATTTTCCTAAAGCTTAAACTATAATTTAATTTTGAACATTTTCTTAAAGTGCTTGTGCGGTGGCAAGGATCCCAGAATTCTTGCTTTTTCCTCGTAATTATGCTATGTAAACAACAAAATATTATTTTAGGACTTCGGAGTTCTAAAAAATTGAAAAAAAAAATACATATTTTTACTTATCTAGATACAAACAAAATTTACTTTTTATCTTTATCTTGATCGTTTTCAATTTATCTAATTCAAACACTGGGCATCATATATTTTGTTTGAGGTATACTTTCTATTACATTAAATAATAGCTTGGTATCATTGTGGTTATGTATCATTTGTCTCCATTTTATGATGGAGTTTTTGGGTGGCTACTTATAAGTATAGCATGCTCTCCGATGCTTTCGTGTATTGTCACTAATCAATTTTAGGCAAGGAGGTAACTAGTTTATTATTTTTGTTGATGTTGGCACAGATATAGATAATATTCCTATCTGGGTGTTGGCGTTGGTGATATCGTTAAAATTTATCATATCAGTATTGACATAAAATTTGATTAAACAACAGATCATAAAAACTGTTTTAAGAGAAGAAAGATCATAATTAAGAACAAATTTCTAAAAAATTAATAAAATTACATTGCAATATATTCAATTCTTATAGAAATTAATTACTTTAAGAAACCTATTTGTTTTTGTAAATAATCAATACGAATCTTTCAAGGCAAAATTGAAACTTCAACACTGTTCCACAGATATCTACGTTTAAAATAAATATAATAAGTAATCATTAATATATTTAATAACATATTAAGTTTAGTACGAGTTTAATAACTCATTAGCATATTAAAAATTAGAAAATTCTTACAGGAACCCTTATTATATGATTTTACAAATTTATAGCCAACTTTCAAATTGTTAAAACTAAAACATTAAATATAATTATTGTATTAACAAACATCGTTAATGGGATATTTTGAAAAAAATTTGTATTGAATTTAACTATAGCCTTATCATAAACTTGTTATATACAATATTAATTATTTTGTATCAGTTTTACCAAATTATAATTTAAGTATATTAATAAACCATACTTGAAAAAACATAAGTAAATATACTTTTTTTATTATATAGTAACTAAATAATTGTTTTATTTTTAGTTGGGAGACCTATCAAATCCAGAATTACGAATTCTTACAGATCAATTAAATAACATCAAGTACAGTGGTGAGTTTTTAGAAGGACACTTTTCCATTATTTCAAGTTATAATATTATCAGTATTTGATTTGAGAAGGACTGAGTGCCTCAAATTTTTTTGGATATTCTAGTGTACCCCTATTTTTTTTTAATGGGTACGCATTGGACGAGTTCTTGATTAAACTTACATACCTTTATAAAATTGCTCAATTTATATTTTTGTGTTAATTATATAAGACTTACAATATGTTTTAATATTTCATACATTTTATACTAATTATGTATATAAGGTCTATGTAGTATTTACAAAGTATATTGATATTATAAATATATAGAGGAATCGGCCTGCCTAATGGGTAGAAATGTATTTTTCGGTACATGGGATCCCATGTTCGATACCCAGAAAGTCAATGAGATTTTTCTTATAATTATCTCATTGGTGGTGTCTATTCTCTGGTACAAGCCGGTCTTAATACCCACCCTGTCCATCATTGGCCTAGCCAGAAAGATATCTTTGACTTCATAAAATGTGAAGATGGCTACCACACTCTGTAGTATATTACATTCGGCAAATACAAAGAAGAAAAACTGATCATTATTATTATTATTGGCATCCTATATCTGATATCTGAGATAACTGATAGGCCGAAATCAATAATAACCATTCATTATCTATAAATCCAGGTAACCAACCTTGTATAATGTTATTATTGAACAATATGCTGCATATTATTCTATGTTCTATATATTAATGATTCTTAGGGAATGTTAATTTGCTAGCAACGCTACATTTTTTAAATAACTGAGTACCTTTACTATTCTTTGCCTAATCAAGCACTGAATATTACAATATTGTTGTAATTTAAATGGATAAATTTCCAATCGCAGTAGATCGACGATATTTACACAAAGCTAGACAAAAACATCCAGTTTAATTCATCAATTAAAAGTATTTAAGTTAAGACTTGGTTTTAACATCTAGGACATAAAATTCTTAATATATATGTATAAAGTTTTAATTGAATAAAACACTTAATCAAATCATTAGCCTCAATTTTAATTATTTGGTATCGGATATACCTTATAATAATTTGACAGGATTTTTTTACTGGCTGTCGATCCAACAAAACTTCATTATGGCTGAGAAAACCAATAAGACAGCAAGGTGTGTAACACTGTTAATCAGAACTAAGGCGTTGATGTATCGTAAGCTTCTATAGCATAAGCCATTTGGCATCAATATTTTATTTACATTAACTATTTGCAATAACATAAATACTTTGATAAATAAATTTTTTCTTAATTTATGACTTAGGATGTAATTATATATATTTAAAAGTTTCAAAAAAAAAAAAAAAAATATTGAATTTTAGATGTACACGTATTAGTTATGCCATCTGAATGAATAATAAATGGCCTAAGTAAAACTGATGGTAAAAAAATACAAAATGTATCGGAATCTACCGAGTAACGTGAAATATAATTATTGATATTTTAATTAACGACCCTAAAAAAGTTTAAAACTTGTGTTAAAGATTTTAAATTCATTGGGGCTGTACATTTTTTATAATATTTTGAAGATCGGGTTTTTAATTCACTGATTTCGAAGTAATATTTTACATGTAAAACACTTATCGTGCCAGATATGGTCCGATACTCCTACCGGAATCATTCGCCTACCTGTAAGAACAGACCATAAAGCCTCTAGTCTGGGGCAGAGCTTAGTCTTAAATATTAAACAAGATAAACTGACACTTGAGACAAGATGATCTGATATTAAAATATATAGTAATATTTGCGTTGATAGTTTTATCAAAATATGATATTAATAAGGGAATTAAAACTTTGCTTCACAAAAGTTTATTTACTTTATTTTTAATAAATAAATGTTAGTTTATTTGTTATCAAAAGTATTAATTTTTTATACTTATGAATCTAGGTAACGAGGCACTGGTTAAACGATTATCAATTGCAGATTTATTACCAGACACCAAATATTACATGACTTACGACGGTTCAACTACAGTCCCTGCGTGTCACGAAACTGTCACCTGGCTAATAATAAATAAGCCAATTTACATCACCAAACAACAGGTATATTTTTATATTGAAAATTAACTCGTCTACAATTTTAGAGTACGCTAAAAATTTGATGGCTAGTCATATTCCTAAAGATTGTTTTTAAATAACTGTCATTTCATTGTCATTTATATCAATTAACTATATAAAAATTTATTAATTAATGTATAGTTTTATTATGGTATTTTTATCACAAATCAAAATTATCACTTTGATTAGTAATAAAAATATTTTGAAAATTTACTGAATGAGGAGTATCCAAGAGAGACATTAGAGAATATTTCGTGGAACAAGGGACTAGTAGATTTAACTAGTAAGAGATAGGTATGGGAGGCTGTGGCATCAACGAAAAAGAATAAAGCAACAGAACCAGATAAAGTGCCAGTAGAAAAATGAAAAATATTAGACGGTGTTGGCATAATGTGGTTGAAAGATCTTTCGAATAAAATTCTTTTAGAAGGAAAAATGCCAAAAGAATGGAGGAACAGTATTGTGGTGTCAATATTAAAATGCAAAGATTTCTTTACCATTTGATACAGGTGTGTAATAATTATAGAAGCAAAAAGCTTAAGTGTTACCATATAAAGATTTAGGAGCTGGTAATAGATAAAAAAAATAAGAGGAGAAATATCAGTAACAAAGAACTAGTTTGGTTTTTTGCCTGGAAAGTCAACGATGGAGCCAATTTTTTGTGTAAGAAAACTAATAGAAAAGAATAGGGAAAAGAAGTAAAAGCTCTGTATTATAGATTATATATAATTATAGATTTGGAAAAAACGTATGATATAGTATGGTGAGAGGTTTTAAAGTGGATGCTAATGAGAAATTGAGTCCTAAAAAGATACATTAATATAATATAGGATATGTATGATGGAAATTGAATCAGGATTAAAAGTGTGAGCGGAATAACAGATGATTTAAGAGTAGGAGTTCACCAAGGTTTTGCTTTAAGCCCTTTCTTATTTTCCATAGTAAATAATGAAATTACTAGAGAAATACAAGGAGAGGTACCGTGAAGTATGTTATTCGCTGACGATATAGTGTTAATAAAAGAAAATATGGAGGAAATTAAGCAGAGGCTAGATATGTGCAGATCAGCTCTTGGAGAAAAAGGATTAAGAATAATTATAAACCCAGTAAATAGAGTACAAGTTTGATAAAGGAGAACACGAGATAGACGCGATGAGGTTATTAGTGACAATATGCGAGGACGTGATAAAAGAGGTGGAAAATTTTAATTATTTGAGATCAGTTGTGCAAAAGAACAGCGATATTAAAGAATGTGTAAAATACAGGATTAAGTGCGAGTAAAGTGGAGAGCATCGACTGGTTTGTTATACGATAAGAGAATTCTAATAAGGCTGAAATTAAGTTCCATAAGGCTATAGTTAGAGCAGCAGTAACGTATAATTCGGAGTGGTTGGCTGTTGACAAGGGAATAGAACATAGAATAGATGTAGTAGAGATGAGAATGCGTAGATTGATTTGTCTAGTGACTAAAGAAGGTAAAATAAAGAACGAACATATAAGAGGGAGTATAGGTGTAGCGTCAATCATGAAAAATATGTGAGAAAATAAACTTAAATAGTAATGTAATCATGAGAGAGGGATCGGAAGTAGTAAGTGCAGTTATAGAAATGAATGTTGAAGAAATAAGAGGTAAAGAAAGACCAAAAAAAGAGAGAGGGATGTTATTGAATGTGCTATGAGGACGGCTGATCTGTGTGTAGATGATGTAGGAAATTGTGTTGAATGGAAGTTCAGGATCAGAGCCCTAAGCAGTTGGGATAAAGGCGAGGAAATAAAGAAGGAAAATATATTAATATTGTTCAGTATTATAATATAATTGTGTTTTGCTTTTTTTTACTTATTTAGTAATACTTTCTAATTTAAAAAAAGTTAAAATGACGATTTTTAGATAACTTTATCGTAGTTTTTTTTATAATTTATTACGAGACAAAATATTGTAACATATGTTGACTTTCTATGATGAAACCTATGATCAACTTTGATATTTTATCAAAACCAATTTAAAATTAGCTTACAAAGTTATTTTTTTAAATTTGTATGTTGTAAATGATTACAAAAACTCAATGTCTCATCATTTTCATGGCTGAGATTTTATCACTAATTAAGTTGATTTAAAAAAATGTTGAACAAATACTACATATAATAAAGTTCATTATTGTGAAATTTATGACACATAGAATGTATTATGTAATTTAAAAGCAATAACATAAACTTTTCTCGAAATGTAATCCATTCATTTTTATAACTAGGAAGAACGGAGATAATGGCTAGGAAATGACTAGTGATAAAAATAGCAGCTTCCAATAATCACCTCCATTCATTACTTTAAATTGTAAATAACTTCTGAAATACTAGTCCCAAATTTGTTAAATTTGATTAGGGATAATTCTAAATAGTAATTATTTGCTGAAAAATCAATATTTATATGTAATTAAAGAAATCAAAAATTATTATTTTAATATTTCTTTATTTTACGAGTGGTTTATGATAAACTTTGTATATAATAAGAACATTTGATTTTTAATCCTCAATTATCTTTAAAAAAATTGATATTTTATTCCAATAATGCTTAAAATATGTATCAATAGGAAGTTCAACACTTTTTGATAAATGACAAGAACCTAACTTGATATATCACTAAAACTTCAATGCTACCAAAGTAAATAAGTTAAAAGTAATGACACGACACCGCCTTTTGCTCTAGGCTGGTGCTCACCCGTGTCTCTCTCGATATCAGCCGTCCAGCTATTAATATGACAATCGGTTGTCATCGGTCGTCTCCCCGCCCTTGACACTGAGATAAGGCCGCCGCCGAATATGGATTACCGATATTGCTTTCTGTTTCGTTTCGACGTTCACCTGAAGTGGTGTATTTTCTTCCACTGTCTTTTTCTTTTGTTTTTTTTTCGGTTTTGACGTTGACCTTAACTGGTTTACCTTACTCTCGTGTGCTGTTGTGTTTCAGTGTTTTTCCCGTGTTCTTTTTTAACTTTGGATCGCGGCGAGTGTGCTCCTTACCGATGACAGAAGTGTAGTTGCCGTTGTTACATAAGTATAACATTGTACGAATCAAGGAGAATATCTAATATTATAAGAACCAATTATTGTCTTCCGACGTTGTTTCTCTGTTTAATATAAAATATTAAACATCTGTTTTTACTATTGTGCTTACGTAAATATATATACACAGACATAAATATAAATAATATATATATACATATATATACCTCGAGTGCCGTACCATTTGGATACGCGTTAGTAAAAAGAAAAATAATAGTGGGACCGTATCATTTTTCTAAAAATTGCCCTGCATCTACGTCGATTTTAAAGATTTTTTTTGGAAAAAATTCTTAAAATGTTACCATAGATCTAACAGTAAAAGGTTTATGTAAGTTACTCGATTTTACCTTATAATCTAAGAGTATACATGTTGACAATTAAATTCAGTGCCATACGATCAAAATTGAACACTAACACGTTAAAAATTAATAATTTAAGTTAGTTAAACTTATTTTTAAAAGTTATGTTTAACTACTTAGTTTTACTTTCTTAATAACTGTGTTTATATGTGTTATATCATAAAATTGAATATACAATATTCATATTAAATGGAATGAAAGTTTCCTTAGAAATGAATTAACTAAACATGAGTAAGAATAATAATAATAAAGTAGAATTGGATAAAATTACAGTACTCTAAATTTACCAAGGGTGGAATATAAATATTATTATCGCGTCATCATATCATTTCATGTCATATCATTTATCACACGCTATATGTGTTTCCATAATATTTAGTAGGATGAACTATGTAATTATTTTTTATTAATAATAGTTATACACGAAGAAAATGCCGTTAAATCCAAATATCATTTTGTTTTGGGTAATAATAAAAACGTTCTAAAGAAAACAAAATGAAATTTCCGAATTAAAAAATATTGGTAAAAATGTGAAATGTTTAAATGGTGTGTCGTGTTTAGTATCCATTACGGCAGAAAATTGAAGACTATCTTTAGAACACTGCAACTTACATCGAATGTTGAGATAAAAGTCTTATATAAACGTGCATTTTGTTTTACTCAAAAACACAATTTGGAACTTCATAATAAATATAATTAAAATAATGATTTAATTCAAATTCATTAATTATTTAATCGACAAATTATACTATTAATAAAACATTAAATCATTAGGCAATACTAGAGAATGATGTCCGATTTTTAAAAAATAAATGTATAAATGAAAGTACTAACTATGTTATTCTAAGAAAATAATTTAATAAGATGAGAAAAAAAATGTTAACACTCCGTGAACGTTCAAAAATTTTATCGAAAACGTTTATTGCCGCCAGCGTTTTTCGATTTAAAATCTAAAATATTTACCAGGTTTGCCCATAGATATTCCAAAATTATCTTGAAAATTTCGTTGAAATCCGTTGGGTTTTGACAGAATTATGAGGTTTTCTTTTTAAATCCACGAGTATAGTTTCCAAAAAGATATGATTTTGCTTTCCGCATGTCAATTTCGTTTAAATTTTATATTAGTTTATGTAGTTTTCACTAATATCACACAATTTAAAAATTGCGTTTAATGATTATTAAGTTTTCTTTTGACAACCTGTAGTGCTAAACAATAATTAGTAAGTTATTATGAAGTATAATTTTGAATACACCTAAAAATTATGTAGTTGTATTATTGTTTTTTTAATTATTATTTAATTTACATGAGTGAACTACGTCTGGAGAAATATTTTTCCTGCACAACACTTATCATGTCCATCGTAGCCGTGTACTTCTACCTGAATCAGTGGCCTACTTATAAGGGCGATTCGAAGGGTAGAACGATACGAAAATGCGTGAGACCTTCAGGACCCCAGCTAGACGAAATCTAATTATTTTAAATAGTGAATAACTTTCCATTAAAAATTAAATAATGTAAATAAAAAAAATAATTTATCAATAATATTTTTAAATATTAGTATCAATGGTTGTTCTGTTGTTTCACTAAAAACTTTTTAAAACCTTAAACAAAAAAAAAATTGATTACTCTAATTCCCAGAAAAATAAGTAAAATTTCACTAATAAAAAAAAAATAAATAGCTATAAAAATTATTTTTTGATAAAGATCATTCAGTCGATTAAGAAAGCGTCATGCTTCGGTGCACAGTTATTGAGGTACGTTTGGAAAACTGTACAAATATTCCTGTTTTCTCTAATAGAAGAATTTAGTAATATAGTTGATAGAGGATGTAAAGGTGTAAATAAATTAAGTAAATAAAAATTAATTTACTGTCAAAAAAAGTTATTTAAAAAGCTACAATAAGTTCTTATATTTATAATTAATAAATTCAAATTTACTTTTAACAAAGTTTTTGATTCCATTTTACGTACATGTTGATATTCAAAAAAACTACCGCCATAAACATAATTTGTAATATTTTAAAGTATTCAGAAATTTGGGTTAAGAGTTATGTAACCATCACGATAATGAGTTGAAAGAGCTACTTATGACCTAAAGAATATATAAAATTTAAACATAGGTATTAACTAAAAATATCCATTAATTTAGTTTTGAACGCGCTAATATTGCTCGTTATTTAAACAAAGCTAATTAAATCTACCAATTTAAGAAACAATGTATTTTAAATATATAAAAAATGAACGCTCAATGAAACGTCCCTACGTAATTTTTTTTTGCGGATAATTTTGATTTAAAATACAGCAATAGAAACATAATGTCTATAGCCACTCTGAATTTTACTAATTTTTCAAATTTTTCTTAATTTACTGATTCATTAAAAAAAAAAGTATTTCAAATAATTTTCTTTAAAGTAGTATTTTCTATAAATACTTGTTTACTATAATTATTGTAGTAAACAAAAATAAGAGTCATTGGGCATAATTTTAAATAATAATTTAGTAAATACACTAGTAACTTTTTAGTAATCTAAAATTCGTTATAACACCAAAACTAAACAAATTTTTTTTTCTATTTCCATATTTTTTATTTATACTTTGTGTTATGTTTCTTGTTATAGTTACACAGTTTACGAGGTCTTATGCAAGGAAACAAAAATCAAGCAAAAGCTCCATTAGGAAATAATTTTAGACCTCCACAGCCACTTCACAACCGATTAGTTCGAACTAACATAGATTTTAATCGCAAGGTAATCTTTTTCAAAATTTACAATTAGTTAAGCAAAAATAGTTAAATTACGAGTTTAATATTTATCATATTTAATTATACGATTTGTAATTAAATTTTTTAATAAGTATTTTATATAAATTACTAAAAAGTTATACGTATAAAAATATTAAATCAAAATACTTTTTTTCGTAGTTTATAAATTAATTATTATATAGCTGTTATAATAGTTAAACTGTATTTAAAATGTACTTAGGAAAAAAATCATGTTCATTGTTGAAACCATAGTTTTTTTTGGCTTTTTTAGGACGATGAAAAATTTTGCCCTAGCATGCACAAAGATGTTTACTACAAAGGTAAGTTAATTGCCAGTCATCCGTTTGTCATGGTTTTGTTAATTTATTAGACAGCAAAGAACAGTATCGTGTTAATAGTTAACAAATTATGGTAGTACATTACAAACGCCCTTTTCTGCTATATTGTAAAAAGGTTTGTTTTTTAAATGTACTACAACTACAACATGATAAGAAACTCATTTACACAAAACCTTTCCTCCTTTATAGGTACTCTTACTTTTCATCAGCACTTAATATTAATTATTCAAAATAAAAATTATTTAAGAGTTGAGCGGTTTTTTCCTAATGATTGAATGATTTTTATATGAGTGCCATTATTCTTAGATTAATTTATCACAAAGATATTTTTTCAAGTAAAAAAGAAATTTAAAATGTCTGTTTAAATTTTTTGTCATAATTCACTGTATGTAATAATATAATATATCATTGAATGACTTATGTGTGTTGTGTTTGAAAAATTCATACCATAATTATTTGCAGTAACGTTTGATACAAGTCCATTCTAGGAAAATATATTTAAATCGTAGATATTCGATTAATTTTAACTATATATTTTTTTAAATAAATATTTTGCTGGTAAAGTAACACATTTTTTTGTTGTTATAACTTGCGCATCCTAATCACATTAATAAAAATAAATTAACTATTTATTAACACTAATAACATAATGGCTTTATTAATTAAAATTTTCTTTTTCAGCTAACGATTGGAATCATCACTAATGATTTGTCTCCAAATATATGCAGCATTAAGTTATCACTCGGTGTCATGTATATTTATTAAAGAGCAAAATGTTCACCAAGACATTATTAAGTTAACTTAATGATAATATAAACACATTCAGACTTTTAAGTTTGATGCCTATAGACTGATAAGTTTTGATATATATAATATAAGCTCACGCCTCTTCAATATTAATTTAGCTAATATTTTTACTAGTACATAAATGTAAAAAAAATTCAAGATAATTGTACAAAATTGTTACTATTAAATTAATAATAAATCGTAAATATCATACAATTATGTTAAATGTGTGATTTTATATATTTTTATAAAATTAAATTTTATCAATTCTAATTAATATACGAATTTTAGAAAAAATGTTAATAAGTGCACTATTTAAAATAATAGTTTTTGTCAATTAATAACACTGTTTTGTTCATAATCCAAATTTTAATAATTGTTACAGTAAAAAATAGAATCCATAATTAGTCTTGAACAACAAAGTTCCAAATGAAAAAAATATTTAGTACAATATTATGCAATATATTAATAAATAAAATTGTTAATTTTTAGTAAATAAAAAGTATTTAGGTTTAATAGCCATCATTTTGAAGCTACTCGCTAACAAAAATGAAATGATACCAAACTAACACATTTTTTTCCTTTTTACATTGGTATCTAAATATCCTAATATTTATGATCATTTACAAAAGATTGATGGTATTAGTGAAAATGTGAAGCATAGGATTATGTGCGGGTAGATCAAGTGACGAGAAGGATTTGGTGTTTTGTGCGATAAGAAAATCCAAATGAGGCTGTAGTAAGACCAATTAGGTTACATGGTTCTTAGGGTTGGTTGTTTGACGTGATAGTAAAGCAGAGATAAAAAAGCTTAGATAGATGAGTGGAATAACGAGAGAAAATTTGATAAGGAATGATATGTATAAGGAAGCATAGGAATAGCGTCGGTTATGAATAAGTTGAGAGAAAACAGGCTTAGATAGTTAAGTCATATTATGAGAGAAAATCGGAAGTTGTAAGAACGATATAAAAATGAACATTGAAGGAAGAAGTAAAAGACCAAAAAAGGGATGGTTAAATGTAATTGAGGATGATATGAAGACTGCTTGTGTATGTATAGATGATGTGAAAGGTAGTGCCACGTGGAAGTTTACAATATGAATAGCCGACCCCAAATAATTGGGATAAAGACCAGAGCGAAGAAGATATTGGAACATCTGCTACCTAACTGTTCTGAACATTTTTAAATTTTATCATTGTAATTGTATTATTATGTATAAAAAAGGCTTATTATTCATAAGGTACATTGTTTATGAAGTATTTTAAAAGTAAAAATAATAATAAATTTAATTTTGACTGTAAAAGTTTAATTTGATAGTGATTCAAAGCTTGAGATTTTGATAAGTAAACCCTGAAATATGAACATGCATACAATTTTTTTTTTCAATGCGTACTTTTATCATATGATAATATATTTTATGGTAATGGGTATTTTTTTATGAGAAATATTTTTTTAATTTTTGAAATAAGGTAATTTTAATGTAGCTTAAACAAAACAAACCTATAAACTACATCACATATTTGAACACTTTTTAAAAATAAAATAAAATTATAATCTCGTTTTGATATTCTTTTCCGCGAATCACAAAAATATTACAAAGCTAAATATGTTTGAATATGATTCATGTTTTGCTATTTGTTTAATAACTACAATTTTATAAAATTTAAGTACTACTTTTTTTAATTTATAAAAAACAAGTTTTAAACATTTACGATATTTCGATATTTTAAAATAAATATTTAATAATTAAAATTTTGTAAAATTTCAAAGCTCACGCAAATAATTGGTTGTTAGTATGGAATTTTTTCTATAAAATTTATTACTATAATTAGTATTGCAAAGAAGCCTGTAATAAAAAGCTGAAAAAAATAATTTTTTGGATACTTATCAGTTTTTAGTTATTTTTAGTTGTATTTACGTGCTGATAATTTTGCCGGATAAAATTATTAAAAACTATTGAATTTAAGTAATTAAATACACAATTTGTATAATAGCTTGTCAATTGATAAAGTTTGATTTAATATAAATATTTTCATTTTTTATAAAACATCTAATGTTTAGGTAAAATATGTGATCATTGAACTTAATTTTGCTAATTGTTGCGGATAGTATAATATACATTACATTAAGTATATAACTATTTAAACTGATTTAAACGAATTAATATTACCATCTTAGTAAATGTTAAGAAAAACAAAAAACATAGTACGAAATTAGACCAGCAATCTGAAGTGCATTCGACGAATCTGAGCACTAAGCTACCGCATACTTTTTTCTTCACATGTTGATCTTTTTTCGATGACCAACCGTCAATCACTAATGGCGACTTCAACATTTTAAGTTAAAATTCCAACTAAATATATTACTCTTTAACATAAAGTTAATTTTGTGAAGAAATTAATGAAAATAAATTTTTGGTCCTTCATATATCTTAAAGAACTTATGAAGTACAATAAAAGTTATACATTGTAATTTTTAATAATACAACACAGACTTAGTAAAATTTAAAATTTATTTCACAGAAAACAAAATTTTTACAAGAAGTAATTTTACCAACTACGTAGTAAATAGTGAATAGAAAAGTAATAATGTTTCGTTGAATAAAAATAACCAACTAAGTATGCCGATAAAATTGCATCCGAAGGCAAGACTGTTATATACACAAAATACGATTCCGCGTATACACTGAAATAGAAAAAAATAAAACTCTTTACTCAAACGAAAGAATTATTTCATACGTAAAAGGAAAACAAGGCAAGGAGCAAATAGAAAATAAAATGTACACGAAAGTAAGTGTTGAGAAAATTGTGACAGATAAAAAATGGTATTGTAGAGACCACCACATAACCATTTGACGAATAGAATTTATACTAAAGCAAAAACAAAGTGGAATAGACCGTGAAGAATGAGATTATTTCAGTATATATAAATGATATTACGGAGACAACAAATCATATCTCGAGAAGAGTACAGCCTACGGGTATAACATGATGTATTACTCTAGTAATAGACAACGTACTTGCATGACTGTGAGCTATATAGTATAAAATTATGATTGCTTCAAGAAAAATGATAAGGGCATAAAATTAAATTGTTATCATATCGTTAATTATTTTTGATTTCATAAGATACGACATCAGAAAATATTTCCAATAAGATAACAACTTTTTTGTTGTACATTTATAAAATTATAAATTTATTATGTTAAGTATAAATTAATATTACTCGGTTTAATTATACCATTTTCACTCATGACTATGAGTAAATTTTTAAATGATTTAATAGTGCCTATACTCATACAAATTGATATTACACAAAATAAACAATTTAGCGTAATGAGTAATCACAAATAGCATACAGTACCATAAAAAATAAACATAGCATACATGTACCGCAATATGCTAAGATTAAGAGTCTCCAAGCGATCAATGGAGATTTTCACTGTCATCATGATATTACAGCACATAATCTTGTAACAGCAAAATTTAATTTAATTATAAGAACAAAATGTTTTTTAATCATTTAACGAATAAAGTTGTTTCTATTATTATAACTGGCAATATTTTATTTAAAATATTAATCCATTCATATTAAAATGTTTATTTACTCGTTTACACGTATCTCAAAATACTAATTTAATATTTTCACAGAACGACGTCAAATGGGTGTTTCAATTGTCGCCAAGATAAGTTGAGCAGTGTTTTCGAAAGACTATAAATTATTAATAAATGTAAATAATTATGTACACATACAAAAGATGGAAGCTCGCCATTTTCTCCTCTTATGTTAATAATAATTCTAGGACAATTCAACGAATAGGATTTAATCTCGTCGTTCACATTGGGAACTCCGCTGCAGGTGGTGTAATCGTTGACTTGTAAGAGAATGAAATATACTGCGTACTTAGAGAATACAGTGGAGAAGGATCGCGAGACTATGGCGAGGAAAGAAGTTTCCTAAGGATAAACCTAAAGGGCACAAGAGATGGGAAATATATTTGTAAGTGAGACTGGTGTAAAAGGGCGAATAAAACAATATGCCTTGATAGGGGTACCGTGTGTGCGATTTTAGCTTACAACTACAATGAATACCGTGTGGGTGACTACAAGTAACGACTAGTGATAGCTGTATAACTCCCAAAGCGACCGCCAGTATAAGAGGTTACAATAACATTCAGGTCCCGTTGGTCCTAACTTACAAGCGGAAAAATAGAATCTAGTGAACTTGGTCCATTGTGTTATGTCGCTTCTCTCTATTTTTACGGTGGCATATGTAAGTCTTAAGAAGAACTTATAACCGCTCACGTTGATTTTCTAACGCAATATTTCTTTTTATAGCATTTTATTTCATCCTTTCTTATTTGCTTTCTCTAGAACAAATTTCAACCCACCATAAACAACAATTTAGCCTGGGTAAAAAACGTTAATATCTTACAAACCTAGTTTGAAAAATCACAAATCAACATTACGCCTGATTTTCTTTTTAACACCAATCACCTCAAATAACGTTATTATGTTTTTTATAAAGTCTCTATATGTTTACTTTAAATGTATTGTTATAATAACAATATATTTTAATAATACAATAACAAAGATAATAAATATTGTAATAACAATATTATAATAGTAATAACAAGAGCTATAAACTTACATTAATTCGATAAACTACATCCATGATACAAATTTAAATACGGTAAAAAAATATTTCTAATGATTACAGTACTCAATAACATTAATATTTTGTTACAATTTATCATTAACGTGATTTGTTGATTACACTGTACATCATAGAGGTTCAATAGCAAAATTTCAAAAAAAATCGTGAGCACCAAAAAGTATTGGAACAGAATATTTTAAAGTTATAATATATAACAACTCCACATTTTTTTTAAATCGCTGACATGACACTTTTTAAAATAATTAAAAATTACTTATTTTACCCAATATGCACATTTTTCTGTAAAGTCAAACGGTTAACATTTATTCCTCGTAAAATATTTATTGTTTACCATTGATTCAATTGAACATATAGTATCGTAAAAGGAAGATGTAATAATTACACAATAAGTTTGATTACATTGATAACATTGATAAGTTCATGTTATTTATAGAACTTATAAAACATTTCCCAACATAATAAACGAGATTTGTTTATAGCCTTTTAGTTTACATACTCAGGAGTGTAACTTGCATGTTTATTTTGACTATAATTAAAATGTACAAACCTCATATAATAAAAAAGTAGAATATTATATAAATTGTTACTATTTGACTCCAAGTTGACACTTAAAAGTGTAAGTGGTTATTTGATGTTAGAATAATGCAATTATAATGCGCAAAATTATAGACCTCAATAGAATAATAGAATACTTCATTATTTTACAAAAATTAAATATTTTAGATATTTGACAACCATGCTGTAGAGATAGATGGAAAAATAAGAAAGTTCGATTTTTTGTCTCANGTAGAATATTATATAAATTGTTACTATTTGACTCCAAGTTGACACTTAAAAGTGTAAGTGGTTATTTGATGTTAGAATAATGCGCAAAATTATAGACCTCAATAGAATAATAGAATACTTCATTAATGTTATTTTACAAAAATTAAATATTTTAGATATCTGACAACCATGCTGTAGAGATAGATGGAAAAATAAGAAAGTTCGATTTTTTGTCTCATAACTTTGGACCACTCATCTGCGATCTCAGCGTTCGATCATCAATATAGTAACGATAATCTGACCATTCCATAGTAAATTTTAATAGATAAACAACATATTTGCATCACAGAAAAATTCAACTTATCATCAATTAATATCTAAAACTTTATACTATAAATAGTAAGTATTAAGAGGCTTAATTAATTTAATCAAAATTCATTTTGGCACGTAGCAAACATGAACAAACTTGTAATTTATGCATAGTTATATTTATTTTTATTTCTATAGGGGAGACGGGGGGAACTACGGTCACCTTAGCTAACAATGTTATACATTGTATATCTGGTTCTAAGACTCTAAATGTTATGCTATTACAACAAAGGGATGCATAAACATATTGACTGCATTATTTCAAAGTTTCAGATTTTTAAAAAATAATCTTATATATTTTATCACTATCATAAAAAACGTTGCAATGCAAATTTGTAGATAGTGTTTATTTAAAAAAACAACATATCTTCTATTTCCTTATTTATATCCTGATTACAAGTTTTATAATTTATAAGTGTAATATATGAATAAATATTTAGTATAGCAATTCAATATAGTATTAAATTGATAATTAATAATTTAATGTTGTAATTTTTTACAAAAATTGTATTTTTTTATTAACTTTGATGTCCGATTTCATCATGAAAACAAATGAAAGTTCAAAAATTTTTTTTTTCATATTAATATATTACATAAACTTTAATTTAAGATATATATATAAAAGTGTCACTATTTCCGGAACACTTTCAAAAGTTAAGTTGAAAAAGTTGTCATTTTGAATCCCCTTCTGTGGGCAGGTAAAGAGTCAAATTTATAAAAAAAAATATACAAAATGATAGGCAAATATCTCACGTATGTATAAAAAAAATTATATTGATTTGTTCATTTTTGATAAAGTTATGGCGTTTTAAGTAAAAAAAAAATGAAAAAATGTAGAAATTAAGCAATTTTTAAATTTGTAATTTTTTTGGAGATTTCCCCCATTAACGAAGAACGAGAGAATTTTTTTCAAATTTTGAGGGTAATATCTTCGACTAGATATGATTTATGATCTCTTGACGTATCGTTTAAAGAAATCGGTTCAGTGAGAGCTGAGAAAAAGTGGTTACATACACACAAAAAAAAAACGAGAAATGAGTAAAATGATACGTTCTCAGTTTCGCATCGAAGCTAAAAAATATTGAGGTATTGGGTCATTTTTATACAAAAGGCTTTTATAGTGAAATTATTTAAAATCAAAAATATAGAAAAAGGAACAAAAAAAAAAAAGTGAATTAAGTTTTGTTGAAAATCATACAACATTGACGATAGCCAGAAAATTATTATATGAAAGTTAATAAACAATCCTAAATAGTTTAACAATTTTTTACTCAACGAATATAATAAATATAATAATCAAACGCAAAATTGGATATATCATCATATATTAAACTTATCTAAAACTATGACCTAATAATGTACAGTATACAGTTTACTTTTTGAACTTCCGATGTTCACGAAAACAATTATTTGCAGTTACTAGATATAGTCTTTCGCAAGTATGATGGTTTCTTGTCTCTAATCCGAATAGTTATAGGGTAGCCACCTATTTTTCTTATAAACCCATCACTCATTTTTACTTTAATATCAGGTAGCTTAATATCAGTATGAATACTAAAGTTACGCAAGACTTCGGATATCAATAACTTCATGGCCATCATAGCATATTTCATACCTATAATACAGTTATTCGAGTTTTAAATATTATTAATTCATATAAATATTAGAAAAAATACCAAATTAAGTATATGAAAATAAACATAGTAATATAGATGGATATTTCAATTATCAGATTTAACACTATTGTTCGGATAAATATGATTAATTAATCTGATGAGTAACCGGCAATTTTTAAAGTATGTAAGAAATTTATTTTATTTTCGGTGCACGTCAAACATGCTATGATAATTAAATCAATGGTAAATTAAGTTTTTAAATCATCTAGATTATACAAACATACAAACTTATTATTTTTTATTGATCATGTACATTACAATTTTTGCATCTCAGATGATCATTAGTTAAATTTCTGTAACTAATATCAATATTTACAATATAAGTTTTTAAGTGAAATGTATATACATACACATAATATTTTTTCACGGCATTTTTCATAATATTATTAATATAAAATAATAATATTAATAATACAATTATTTTAAAGTATCAAATTTTATCGAGTGGAGTTGTTAATCCCTTTCGAGTCTCATTGAAAATAAAACCTTAGTAAATTAATCAAATTTACTGTTAATATAAAGACGACAAATTTTTTTTAATTAAATGATAATTAATTTAAATTTTGAACAAGTAAACAAGATTTAACAAAAAAAATATATTTTGTATAATATACTAATTTTTTTTAATTGCTGCCTTAACGTTATTTATATTTAACAAATGCACTGAATTTGTAAATATTTTAAATTGGTCTATAGTTTTAGTTGTTATTTTTAAACAAATTTAGTTTAAATAATTGTTATAAACTATTTTTAAATATTTAAAAATAAAAGGCTAGCTCATACAGAATTAGGAAATTAAAGCTTGTTTAATTATCTTAGTCGGCAAAATATTAAATAAAATCAGCAAGCTCGATATACAGAGTGATTGGCTTACTATATCTCACGAAATGTCATTAAAAATACAAGTGTAAGAAACAAATCTTTTTTTTAATCATTATGGTTCTCTGATGAGCTGTTTCACAAGAAAAATTAAATTTCCATTAACATCCTTTATACTTATAACTTGTTTCAACTTTAGATTTTTAAATAGCAATTCCATATTATTTTTGTAAACTTTTGTTTGTTATAAGAAAGAAAATATTTAGCAACGCGGTCACATTATTATTTTATGTAGCGATAAGAGCTACTGGTCTACTGTGTCAACGCAACATAGTTAGAATAGTGCTTATCAATTTACGATCTATAACGTTTAATCCTGTTACAATTTTTTCTTAATAAATCCTAAACTCTAAAGAGCTTGTATTTTTAATGATACTACGTGAGACATAGTTAGCCAATCACTCTGTACAGGGTGTTAGTATAATCAATATTTTGAGCTAAATATTTTTAACTTAATTACAATAGGATAATTAAAAATAATTATTTTGATGTAATCGGTATACTACTCTTTCCCGAAATTAATCACATGTAATCATTTAAACTAAAAATAGACTACATCACAGGACTCCTAGTAAAATTTTAATACAAATTGATGGGTCACACTAAAGTGAAATTTTTTTCCAACTTTGAACCCAAAGTTCTAGGGAGGGTGTGAAATTTACAAAAAATCAAGTGACCTATCAATTTGTATGAAGATTTCGTGGGAAATACTGTAGCCATGTTTATTTTTTATTTAAATTTAAATTTGCGAGGGAACCGGAAAAACCACAATTTTGGAGATAGGAAATTTAATTTTTTTGATTTCGCTATTTTTAGGTCCTACTGAATATCTCCTTACTACTCGTGATATTGATTATATTGACACTCTGTATGTAGTGTGAATGCCAAATTCTAGACTATTATTCTAAATTCTTACCAAGTTAAATGTGTTTTACTTACCAAGGCATCCTCTAGGTCCTCCACTAAAAGCTATGAAACTATACTTGTGGCGGTTGGCTACATTGACAGGACTAAAATTATCCGGATTAAATATGTTGGGATTTGGATATAAGTACGGAGCTTGATGTGTAACCATTGGTGATATGGTAACACCGGTCCCTTTAGGTAGCACATAGTTTGCTGTAGACGAAAAAACTTATTACTTGTAGCGCCTAGGAATTATTTTATTATAGTTACTATTTACAAAGTTTAACGTCATCTTGTAGTTGTCTAGTGAATACTGGAAGGATAGGAAACATTCTAAGGGTCTCTTTTAATACTTGATCTAAGTACACGAGTTTTGCCATATCATCTGGTGTGAATTCACGGTCACTATCTCCAACTGCGTTATAAATCTCGTCATAAACTTCATCCTAGAGTTTTTTAGCGATGAGTTTAAGAATATGAATTATTAACAATGACAATTACTAAACCTGAATATCTTGATGAATTGCCAACATCAATAAACAAAAACACTCAGTAGTCCCGCTGGTATCACTTCCCTTATTAAAATAATTCAAATTATTAACATTTTTTATATTCTTGTTGGAATAAAAATAAATTTTGCTACTATTTTAAAAAATACATCGTATGTCTTGGTGGTCAAACTATAAAATGTAATAAACCAATCAAAAGTCCAAAAATATAGTATTACGAAATTGTAAGTAAAAATACTTAATTCGAAAAGCTCAGCTTCTCTTTACTAACAAAGATTATTTTTAAACTCGCATAAAACCCCGGGTATTTTAAAAAAAATATGGTTAGAAAAAAACTAACTATAAAAAACATTTTTTTAAAAATTATTTAAACTCTTTTTATTAATTATTACATACAATAAAATGTAAAGTCTTGAAAATAGAATGAATGAATTGTGTAAGTCATCTATATTTATAAACATATAAAAACTTAGTAATATTTAATAACAATTTTTAAATGTAAGACGCAAAAATACCTTTATCTCTTTAATTGATGTTTAATTTTGTAATATTAAAGAATGATAAAAATATATTTGTAAGCTTAAGTTAAACTATTCAGGATTAAGCAATATTATTTTAAGAAAATTGTCTCAATAATTTGAAGGACTGAAAACAGTAACAGTCTATACCAAAAAACATTAAAATAGACTTATACAGTTTTTTAACTAATTTTTAGAATTTACAAAAATAGCAATATTAGCTTGAATTAAAATACACGATATCATTCTTTTTTATAAAAATATTATTTTATTGTAAAGGTCGATAAAAATGTTGGATAATTCTAAGCTACTAGCCACAAATTCTTTTGATTATTTTGTGGCATTTAACACTACTATTACAAATAGTACAAATAAACTCTTTTTTTAATCTAAGCTCTTTTTTTTTTTCAGAAAAGTTGGTATATTAACCATTAGACTCCAAAACTGCATTAATTTTACGATCTACATCAACAATATGATGCATTCTAACAAATTAGTTATTTCGTAATCAATCACTTATTGTTTTAAAAAATGCGTATTTTTTATATTCAATTAATTTTATATATTTGCTAATTTGCTCAGAGATTCACATTACCGCGTACAACATAGTTATGACTTCATCTAGAACATCATCATCACTGAAATCAGGATCTGACTCATTAGCTAGAAGTAAGCAGTCCATGAACGTTCTAAATTTATTCCCTAAATTACCTAGTTTAAAATAAACCAATTTTTTACATTTTTTATTTAACTAGAAGTAATAATGATCGACTATACTTTCTTCAATATTATTTCCATTTGGTTTCAATGTAGACTTCTTGATCTGATAATTTTGTTTTTTTTCTTTTATTAACTAAAATTTGTATCAAAATAACAATTTTTCACCTATCATAATAAATATTTATACCTGTAGAGGTAGTTCTTTAATGGCTTTCAAGTTATTCCCCAGATCACACATATTCTTATATATTGAAAAATTTTTGTCCCAATATAACCATGGTTTATTTACATCCTTCACTAGTTCTTCTGAAACGCTAAATATTAATATAATAATTTTATGGTAATTAAGATGATTAATGTTAATGAAATAGATATAATAATTTCCTTACACTGTTAATAAATTTAAAAATTCAAATTTTTTTTGAGGCTCCGTAACCTGATAATCCATTGCAACATCTAGTAAATTTTAAATAAATCTATTGTTAAATTTGTTTAGTAAACATTTTATTACAGCGTATGAAGTGAGGTCAATGACATTATGCATTCAAAAAAATAATAATAATAGATAAATACTAGAATATTATCATACATTAAGTCACCAAAATGTTAAAGGATTCCGTTATTAAACATTTTATTAATTATGGATATCATAGAATTATAATTCTATTTTTGGTAATTATTTATTTATTTATTTATTTATTGCTAAACTCAACGGACGTAAAGCCCTTTACAAAATATANTTTATTGCTAAACTCAACGGGCGTAAAGCCCTTTACAAAATATATAATGATACACAACAGACAAAAATATAAGAAGTCGCATGATAGAATACAAATAAAAATATTTACATAGTCTTTAAAATATAATAGAAACTAAAGATAAACAATTAAAAATAATGATAAACAATTAAGAATAATAATGCTACAGCAGAGTTGATTCTCTTAGGTACAATAAAGTTTTTGATTTAAAAAGTTGGCGTGATAAATTAAAAAAATCAAGTGAGTGTGATATTTTATTGGCTACTCTAAGTGCTCTAGGGAAAAAAGAAAAAGCTCCACTATTTGTCTTAAAATGAGGAATAACGAATAAATCTAGGTTACGTGTATTTAAAACAGGGATTCGAAAACCAATAATTTCTAGTAATTCAGGACAAAGAATATGACCATTGAGAATATCAAAAATAAACATTATGTCCGCTAGAGTTCGTCTGAGGGACAGACTATCAAGGCCAAATGTTTCCTGTAGTGGAATAACTGAATTTTTCGAGTAGGGAAGATTTAATTTGTATGAAATATTTTTAAGAAACTTATTTTGAACATTTTCTAGTTCGGCATAATAGGTAGAAAGATTTTGCGACCAAACAACTGATCCGAATTCTAAGTTAGATCTGACCAATGAAGAAAAAAGTGTTTTCAGGCACTGCAGGTTACTGAACTCATTAGTGTTTCTGTTTAAGAAACCAAGCATTTTATAAGATTTGCTGAGGATTGTTTTATGATTTATTTTAAAACCAAGATCATTGTCAAAATAAATTCCTAAATCTTTAATAGAATTAACTCTCGACAAAGAAAAATGATTTATTGTATAACGATGAATGAGGGGATTCCTTTTGCGAGTAAAAGATATTATTTTGCACTTATCTATGTTAAGAGGTAAGTAATTTTTTTCACTCCATAAAACAAATTTGTTTAAAATCAATTGAAGATTTGTTTGATCAATAACAGAATTTATCTTGCAGAAGATTTTAGCATCATCAGCAAATAATAACATGTGTGTCTTATTAGAGTCATCCAACACAAAATGGGGTAAATCATTAATAAAAATTAGAAACAGCAAAGGACCTAAGTGGGATCCTTGAGGAACCCCCGAAGAGACCTGAAAGTTATAAGATGTATGGAATGAGATTTTGATGGCTTGAATTCTATCAGTGAGGTACGAGTAAAGCCATTTAAGAAAAGTACCATCAATACCAAAAGATTTCAATTTATAATATAGTAAGATATGGTCTACTTTATCAAAGGCTTTCTGGAAATCCGTGTATAAGGTGTCGACTTGAAACCCCTCATCTAAGGCATTAATAAGATAATTTTGATAAACTAATAAGTTAGTAAAAATCGAGTGTTTTGCCAAGAAACCATGCTGAGTGGGACTAATATAATTTAACAATATGCTAGACAGTTTTTTTGTAATAATAGCCTCAAATAATTTAGGTATAGAGGAGAGTTTAGAGATTGGTCGATAGTTAGTGATATCGATTTTGCTGCCAGACTTGTGTATGGGCGTAATAAATGATTTTTTCCAAAAACTAGGAAAGACTCCGGTTGATAATGAAAGGTTAAACAAATAGTGCAAGGGTTTAACAAGCACTGAATAGCATTTTTTTAAAAATATCGGTGGAATACCATCTGGGCCACTAGATGATTTATCATCACTTGATAATAAGTAGTCTAAAATTTCATTTTCAGTAATGGACATCGAGATGATATTTATATCATGAATATTAACACTAAGAGATTCAAGAATATAATTCGACAAATTGTTTTTAACATAAACCGAGGAGAAATGGTTAGCAAATAGTTTACAGATATCATTTAAATTATGAGCATGGGTATTTTCTAAAAACATTGACATCGGAATATTAGAGTTACTTGATTTGAGAGATTGAATATATTTCCAAAATGATTTTATATTAATATTAATGTTTTTTTCTATTTTAAGAATATAATTTAATTGGAGTTGTTTAGATAGTTTCTTACATTCTTTACGTAAATTAGAAAATATAGAGTAGTCAGATAAAGAATTAGAAATTTTGTATTTTTTATGAGCAGATTTTTTGAGTTTAATTAAATTTCTTAAGTTATAATTGGACCAGCATATATTGTGATCAGAGTTGAGATCCAATTTTATCTTTGGAACTAATACATCAAAAGAATGATTTATAATTTCATGGAATTTTAATACGGCACTTTCTAGGTCTAAAGTATAAATATTATCCATAATATCTATACAAGATAAGAGAGCAAGAATGTCATTAAAATTACAGGAATTAAAGTTGAAAATTTCAGGATATATAGACTGGATAGCGGGAGTAGTGATTGTAAAGGAAGAGATAAATTCTAGAGGTGGATGATATAAATCAATAAGAGGTATAAGAGAATAGTTTGAGGAATGAATAAAATCTGCAGTAGAGTTTGTAAATATTAAATCCAAAATACCCTTATGATTGTTGATTATGTTATTAACCTGCTTTAAATTTAAGTAATCAATATAAAAATTAACAAGGACAGAAGAAATTGGATTTCTAAGTAAATTAAAATCACAAGTAGAGAATTCATTTAAGTTAAAATCACCAACAATAATAATATTTTTAATGGAGTATTTTACTAAAAAATGTTCAATTATGTCGCAATGCTTGTTATATAAATCAATATTGGAATTTGGTGGAAAATAAACGCAACCTAGAAGTATAGTAATATTATTGTAAGATAACAATACAAACACTTGATCAACACCTTGAATTGGGTCGAAATTTAATAATTTACAATTAAGATTTTTTCTAGTAGCCAATAATACACCACCACCTCTAACACATACATTGGAAAATCTATCCATTCTAAATAAATTAAAATCAACAAGACCTAGCTCAGCATCATTAAAATCATTTTTTAACCATGTTTCAGACAAAAATAATAAATCACAATTTAAATTAATTATACAATTACGAAAAAATTCAAGCTTAGTCCTAAGACCTCTAACATTTTGATACATTACATGGAGATTAAAAAATGTTGATTATTATTTTGAGTTTTAGACACGGTGGCGATATTTACAATTTTAGGTATACCATTAATAAATTTAATAGTTAGACCTGATTCACCATTATTTGAACGTAACACAAGCTCCTCCTTCAAACTCTTCATATAGTCTCTCTGATGGGGTGTTCTATCAGTAGATATGAATGTAGTAGAAGGTGGATTGGAGTCAGTGAGTTTTTTTTTGTTACGAATAATATCAAACACGTTTGATTCCGATTCAAAAATAACTTTAATAGGACGAGGTTTACCAGACTGATAACGGCCAAGCCGAATGACCTTTAATGGTATAGGAGGATTTCCTGAGTCAACTAGAATAGACGCGATTGTATCGTTTACTTGCTTAGTATCAAAAGATATTCTCTCGTCAGACTGATTAGAATTGCACTCTTGAATATTATAGAAAATAAGATTTTTTGCTCGTTTGTTACGTTCATTGATTTCATTAATAATGAAGTCATTAGAAAGATTATGGTTTTGATTATTACCAAGGTTCGATTTCAGATTATTAACTTCAACAAGCAACTTATTTAATAAAGATTTGAGCTCTGGTAATTCTTTGAGACCCTTATCGCAGCCAGAACAAAAAAATTTGAGCAGTCTGTTTTTCATTCCCAGGCATTTTAGTTCAGAGGTTGATAGTCCGGAACATTTTGGGTGAAATAACAGTGTACACCCGTCACACTTAATAGGAGTGTCGAGGTCCGCAAATTTTAAATTACAAATATAGCAAATTGTACTTTTACCCATATTAGTATAGATAATCAACGATAACGTAGTGAGCGTGTTCCAAATGAATGCCAACAATAATAAATGGAAGAAAATATAGATAAGCGTACTCACGAGCGATTAAACGTACGTGTTACTCGGTCGGCTGTTGAAATATAACTGACATTAAATATATTAACATTGTTTTATTTTTACCTTGATTTATAACTAGAATTTCATCATTGAAATATTATTATTAAAATATTACAATGATTATTATTATATTACATTGATTATTGATCTAAAAAATGCTGACATATAAATATTTCACGTTATAGGTCAATTGTAAGAGTACTGTTAGCGCGAGTCACACTATAGTATGGTCTTTTATCTTGGTTTGGCTGGTCAGCAATGTGTCTTTTAGTATTAAGTCTAATCAGTGTACGTTCCACCGCTGAACCATCAGCGACGCGCTCCAATATTAATCAAGGTTACATTTGTATTTAAATATTTTCATGTAAGTTTTAATTATAAATAAAATTAAGGAACAAATATTTTGTACATTTTATTTATTCATGTTAAATTTAATATTCATTACATTAATCAAACAAATTAAAAAAAATTATATCATAAAAATAAGGTTAATTGAGCGTTCGATTTTTTAACGGTTAATAATCCCGCTCACCAACAAGTACCTTTTACCTTGTACCTTAATACTCTATAACCTACGTCACATAGTTCGTTTAAAACATAAATAATATCAAATGAATTAAAAGTTCTAAAATAAGTAACTTACCAACGGGGTAAGGGACGGGGGATGGTCTTTCTTACTAATAGCCGACGTAGCAACATAAAAAAAAATGGCTAAAAATATAAAATAAATTAAGTAAGACCTTCCAATTAAAGAATTAGCTGTATAAAGTAGAATAGATTAAT